GTACCGGTTTTTTTTAGCTTGCACGCTCGTACGCGCACAAATCACCACCGGACGTTGGGTGAAGCGAGTTTTTGCGCGCGGCCTTATTCTCTCCGCGACCGCAAATCGGAATCTTTATTTATTTATCCTGGAGAAATCCGACGAGCTGTGGAGCTGCTTTTCACAGGTGTCCAGTAAAGGGGCACGCGAAGCATGGGGGACTGTGACCCACCGCGAAGATCTGTGCACGTGAAATGCTGCACGGCATCAATCTTTGTTCGCGCTCGCGCGAAACGATGCGTACAGCAACTGCCCAGAACGTATTGATGGAAGAAATGTCAAAGGGTTAAAAGGCACTGGTGAGCTCTGAATGCCTGGTGAAACATTCTAAGTCCATTGTTTGATCCATAAATATTATCTCCGAGGCTCGATTTGCCCTTTGTCTACTCCTGCACAATTTTTCTTCGTTGTGAAGGTTTTGAGACTTAATGAGATAACAAAAAAATTGACTGAAATGAAAGCAATGGTAAGTTATCTCCTTTTTGTGATCATAGTTGTGATTTTGATGATGATGATGATGAAATTGAATCCTGACCGTTCACAACATGCTTTAGACAACTATCAATCGTTGCGTGTTCTCGCATTATCGTTTTAACACATCTGTCATGTCCACCATTAATGTCACCACTTATCAAGTGATCCACTTCGCCTATTCGTGAGTCACTTTTTTTTCAACACTTTCATTTATTTTTTTATTTTACTTTGAATGTTTTATAGCTCTGTGTTTTCGTAATGCACCAGTACATAACATCATCAATCCTTAATGCAAGTAATTCCATTAAAATTGATGGAATTGCATCGTTATTTGGAGAGAGAGAGAGAAACTGCACGCTTTTTTATTTCATTGCAGCCTTGGGAATATTTCTATTGCAAATAATAAATTGACTTAGAGCATTAATTTGGAAATGAGATAAGCGTTCATCTCTGCAGCCAAAAAGTTGGGAATTCTGATATATCATTATTTTCTGCCATCTAATTCATTTTCGCTGTGAATTTGATTAGGAAATAATGCAAAGTATCAATCTCCATAGCTTCCGATGAAAGTTACAGGAGCGGATATTGAAGGTTGGGTGTCGACCGTGCATCAATTTGCATGATCCGACAGAAGGAAAGCAACGATGGCGCATTGCGGTGATGCCAATGGCTTTGGTCGCGATGACCCATTGACCTTGGCTGATGAAACGAAAGAAAAGTGGATTTTTGTGCACGGACGTTATCTTGCACGTGTTTTAATTTTCACGTGATGATCGAAATGGACAATGTGCCCTGCGCTGAATCTGCTGCCGCGCCACCCTAAGCCGATTAACCCGTAATGTCACTGCACCCACGGGGAGGATGAATCTGCACTGCGTAATTGATTCGAACCCACAACACGCCGCGCGGCCAAGCACGCATTTTGATCCAATTACATTCACTGAAACCTCGAGTAATTACACATGTTTCCCCATCGGCGCAGTTTTTTCATATGTGCAATTGAGCTTTGGAATGATTATCTTTTGCAGCAAAATTGGATCGCCGTGCCATGCCACGCCATTCAGCGCGCGAGCCCATGACCATTAAGATCATTTGCAGCGATAGGATTTCTCAGCCTTGCCGTGCGTAAACACAATGCGATGCGATCGCACGAAGCGACGTACCATTTTCAAACATCGTTTGATGGCCGCGTACGCTCGCACGGCACCCCTTGCATTGCGATCACGAAGGGAACGGAGAGATTCCTCCCGATCGCCATCGAACTGATTACCAACTCACTCGCCACTTCCCCCCCCCCCCACCCCCGCAAGCTTTCCCTCTCGAGTGACGTCTTAACGCGATGCGGAGAGGCTGCATGTGACATGCGTGTCCACGCAGCTAATGTCGTGAATGCGTGCCACACTCGGTGACGAGAGAGGGACCGCATTTTCCCCGTTGTCGTATCAGCCACCGCCGTCGCGTATTTCTGCACCTTTGAGATTCGGAGACGATTCCATATCTTGAGCTATGCATGACGAGCAAACTAATCATAATTAATTGGCGCTCGCTCAAAAGCGCTTGCACCATCAGTCTGTTGAGGCTATACGGCGGGGGTTCTTGTGTCATTGTTGCATCCAGAATTCTTATTTTATACATTGGCATGGATGTAAGAAAAAATGATATCATGAAATTCAAATGTTGAATTGCTTTTAGATTTTTTTTAATCTTTTCTGTAAATAATAATTGAAGTGTTGAGAATGGGGGGGGGGATGTGGGGGAACGCATTTCGCCAATGCAGAAGGTCGTTTGGAATTTCAAAAAAAACGATTGTGTAACCACTTGTTTTTTTAGTTTATATGAGCCCGTGTGCAAGCACGCTTGGTGGATAATTGCATCGCCGGATTAGCAAGAGGCGGTGGGCAACTCGGGGAGGCCTGTGTATCCAGCAGTGGACTGAACATGGCTGATGATGATTTTCCAAACTGCGTGATGCCACGTACAATGAGCTGTTGGCCAGGTGCGTGGAAAGTTTTCCCTGAACCATGGGGACATAGAGAGATACTCCCTCTGTCAGCTCACACGGCCACACGGATAATTAATCAGACTAATAACCGAATTAATAAAAAAGCCCTATCGAGCTACAACGAAAGATTAAAATAATAAAACGTGATATTAAACTGACTGGTAGACTTAGAATAATGCAGGCCTGAGATAGTTTCTATTCAGATGAATCCCGAGTTTGTTCATCATTATAAGGTGCTGGCTAAAGCTCTAAAACGTCGGTTTTTAACAAGAGGGGCTGTATACTGCTAAATCGCACACACGTGCAAGCGCGCAGAGCAGTGGCAGCCACCAAAATCGGCGACATGCTTTAAGTTATGGATTCATTAAAACATAATAAGAATAATAGCTTTCCAGCACCCCGTCAATAAATTCTGGACAAAGCCCTCCCCGTGCAGGTGCTTGGGCGTGACAGAAGTTTGACCATGCTTCACCCCGCTGGTCAGCGCAGGTTTACTGAAGGTGGTAGTGGTTTGCACACTGTGCTACGAACCTGGTGACCGGAGTTTTTTAATTATTGGCCACGACTAAGATCAGTGGTGAATGATGTGCGGACCGATCCTGAAGGGAGCAATAAGTGCCTGAAATGTTCAAATTTATCTTATTTGAAGCCATCATACTGACATCTCCTATCCTGGGGGAGGGGGTGGGGGGGGGGTTGCCCAGAACGGGTTCAGATATCGCTCCTCAATCGCTCGAAAGATCTTACCAGAACTCAAACTCAGGTCGCCGGTTTCACGGGGCAGCACACCAACTACCGCTGCCCCACTACTGCCACCCTAAAGTAGTATCCTAGAATGCCGCAGTTGCAACGCAGTGTGACATTGCGGAGAGAATTGCGACAATTAGCGTATGCAAAAGAAGAGCAAAATCCGCTTAAATTAGGCGCGTAGAAATGTTGTCATCCCCGCCCCCCCCCCCCCGCTGTGTTTAAAAATGGCGGCTACGTTCATTTGCGCCTGACAAGATTGTATTCTGCACATGTCGAGACATTGCATTAGCGGGCGCTGGAATGGAATTATTTAAATTTGTGGGGGTTTGGGGCGAGTGTGTGTGTGTGGCCATCCCGACACGTTTGTGAATTTGTTCAAATTCCATTTGTTTATTTGCACGCTTCGTTTGAGCTGTTGACATTCGGAGGGCAGGTTTATCTGATGATTTGACAACAACAACAACGAGAAGAACAACACGCCGCGTTAGCTCGCCGCTTTCGGACGGGGTGATTGAAAATCTGAGCGATTTATTGAATTTGAGCCCCGGTAGTTCACCAAAACGGGGATACCTTTCCCCGTCCTGATAGACTTTCTTGTACATTTAGTTCAATTATACTCTTGGCTGTTCTCTGGTGACTGAGCCAAAGCATAAAGTGCTTCAAAGTAAAATGGAATTTATTTACTTATTTCTTTTTTAATGGTAAAAAAACAACCAAAAACCGTGGCTCGCGCCGAGCATCTTGAGAGAATACAACGGCGCTCCACCAGCCGAGCAAACCCCAAATTATTATCCGAATCCAGCAGAGGGCACTTGCTTTTTAATTTTGGGAGAGAATGAAATGCAAAGAGCGAGCTCTCCTGCCTCACTCCGTAACCGATTCCTCTCGGTCGTGACGGGGTAGGAGAAGAGTGTGCCCACACTTGAAAGGACTGCGCGTACATTTCATCTGGTGGAGAGAGCATTCCCCGCGGCTCCTCGTAGGGAACATTGTGGTTTGATGATAGCCTCGACAATTGACTTTAAAACAAACAGTAGTGGAGCGGTTGGCGCTATGCTGCGCTATGAACCTGGCGACCCGGGTTCGATTCCCGCTCACGGCCAACACCGGTGACGATTATCTGAACCGGTCCTGGGCCTCCCCTAGGTCGACTCAGCCTCAAATGAGTACCTGGTGCGGTGTGTAAACATCGCCACTGGGGAGACAAAGGCGGCCGGGCGTGGTGTTGGCCACCCACCCCCTCGTGGGCCATTCTGGCCTTCATAGGTGCTCGCTAAAAGCACTTGCCCCAACAGTTTGTTAAAGGCTATATGGGGAATATTTGTTTTTTTGTTTGTGTGTGTGTGTATATATATGGGGAGCGGAAGTGTAGCGGTTAGCATGCTGCTCTGCGAACCCGGCCACCCGAGTTTGATTCCCGCCCACGGCCAACGCCAGTGTGATGGTTACCTGAATCTGTCTTGGGCCTCCCCTTGGTCGACTCGCCCACAAATGAGGACCTGGTGTGATGTGCACTCATCAACAATGGGGAGACAAAGGCGTCCGACCTTGGTGCTGCCCACCCACCCCCTCGTGTGCCATGCCGGCCTTCATAGGTGCTCGCTAACAGCACTTGCCCCACTAGCCTTTCAAGGATATACTGGGGGGGGGGGGGGGGGGGGGTGATCTTCGTCTTTGTCATATATTTATGAACCCCCTCGCTCAACCACTCGTTGTTCTCCTTGCCGTCCGTCAGGATCTGCAGGCGGAGATTGAGGGGCAGCAAGACGCCTTCGGGGGCTTGACGGAAAGCGGGCAGCGCATCCTGCAGTCGCTGGACGGCTCGGAGGGCAGCACTGCCCTGCAGCGAAGGATCGACAGCGTGAACCAACGGTGGCGCGACCTGCGTCACAAGTCGAGCCAAGCGGGGTCAGTGGGCGGCAGGGGGCACGCACAAAAGGGGGGAGGGGGGTGGAAGGGAGGGGGGCGTGGAAGGGAGGGGGGAGTGGAAGGGAGGGGGGGGTGGAAGGGAGGGGGGGTGGAAGGGAGGGGGGGTGGAAGGGAGGGGGGAGTGGAAGGGAGGGGGGGGTGGAAGGGAGGGGGGGTGGAAGGGAGGGGGGGTGGAAGGGAGGGGGGGTGGAAGGGAGGGGGGGTGGAAGGGAGGGGGGAGTGGAAGGGAGGGGGGAGTGGAAGGGAGGGGGGGGTGGAAGGGAGGGGGGGTGGAAGGGAGGGGGGGTGGAAGGGAGGGGGGAGTGGAAGGGAGGGGGGGGTGGAAGGGAGGGGGGGTGGAAGGGAGGGGGGGTGAAAGGGAGGGGGGGGTGAAAGGGAGGGGGGGTGAAAGGGAGGGGGGGTGAAAGGGAGGGGGGGTGAAAAGGAGGGGGGTGAAAAGGAGGGGGGTGAAAGGGAGGGGGGGTGGAAGGGAGGGGGGTGGAAGGAAGGGGGGGTGAGAGGGAGGGGAGTGGAAGGGAGGGGGGGGTGGAAGGGAGGGGGGGGTGGAAGGGAGGGGGGTGGAAGGGAGGGGGGATGGAAGGGAGGGGGGGTGAGAGGGAGGGGGGTGGAAGGGAGGGGGGGGTGGAAGGGAGGGGGGGGTGGAAGGGAGGGGGGGTGGAAGGGAGGGGGGGTGGAAGGGAGGGGGGGGTGGAAGGGAGGGGGGGTGAAAGGGAGGGGGGGTGAAAGGGAGGGGGGGTGAAAGGGAGGGGGGGTGAAAGGGAGGGGGGGTGAAAAGGAGGGGGGTGAAAAGGAGGGGGGTGAAAGGGAGGGGGGGTGGAAGGGAGGGGGGTGGAAGGAAGGGGGGGTGAGAGGGAGGGGGGTGGAAGGGAGGGGGGGTGAAAGGGAGGGGGGGTGAAAGGGAGGGGGGGTGAAAGGGAGGGGTGTATCTGCTGCTTGAACACCGAGCCACGTTTGACTGATGGTTTGTAATCTGTCGGAAAGTAACAGTTTTCGTTCACGCAACTCAGTTTTTGGTTTTAACAAGGAAGGCGCAGCATTGCTGGTAAATGCCTGACAGCTTTTTATAACCACATTCAAATTGTATGGGTAATATATATGCTAATATGTGTTTATCACACCCAATAACACCTCTTGATCCACGATTTGCGTCAGAAAGTAACCCCCACCCCACCCCACCACCTCCCCACCTCCCCAGCCATTGGCTCCTTTTGAAGAAGATTGTTTGTCAATTTGTGAGCGAGGAGGGCTCTCACCCGGGCTCGCCCATGCATTTCACCGGTTCTCGTCGCTCTCGTCAAGCTGTGCTACTTGTGATAATGCGACAGGACCCCGATTTGCATCCTCGCTGGAGAAAATTAGTCTTGTAATTGGGCAGCTCAAAGCCAATGGGTCATCTCGTGAACACGCTGCCAGGCATCCCTCATTAAAAGCCCCGTTTTCACCGATGCGCGCCCTGAAATAATAAGCGCTTAAACGAATTCCGTGTTTTAACCAACGCGCCTCTGGTCTTCACTCCACCATTAACAAAAAAACAATAGTGTGGCAGCATGGAGGTGCCATCGTCGTTATCGGCCCACTGCAGCATGAAGGCCTCCCCGACGCCGTCGCCGCTGACCGTGGTTCGGTGTTGCTACCGTCCAATCTCACTCCTGAACGTGATCGCAACTCGTTGCTCCGTTCCTACGGTTGCCGTCTTCGCTACTTTGGTGGCCGTTCCGTCGGCGGTCGGTTCCATCGTCACCCGCCATCCTGTCTCACGATGTGTCCTGCCCAAGCCCACTTTACGTGTCTTTACCCTTTCCCGTCGGAACGGAATCGGAAGACAAACTAAAATAATATAACTTTATTGGCACCGAGGCTCCCGCAAGGCAATGCGGGAGGGCGTGTGGCGCGGTTTGGCGCAAGCTATCGTAGGGTGCGGCGGTCGTGTAGCTACGGTTTTCTGCCGTGAGTAACGATGTCTTTAAAAACAGCGGCACTACGGCTCTCTAAATAAAATTAATGCCAACCACTTGCGCATTGCCGAGATTCGGCTGTGGAACGGGACAGCCACCCTGCAACTTGCAGTCGTCTCGGAACGGGAAAGGGTTCGCTGCCAATGTGATTTGCCTCATTCGTGCGTGCTCCCCGATCCACGTGTTCCTCGCTTCTGCGTACCTCCAGGCACGGCATGCCACTGCAGCAGAGTGGAGGGTCCCCGGAGTGGCTCAAAGAGTTTCTGGCCTGGCTCGACGAGAAGGAAAGAGACCCGAGGGGACAGGCGGACGGAGATGTTGGGGGCGACTGGGAGAGCGTCCACAAGCAGCTGGAGGAAAACAAGGTGCTTGCGGAGGACTGAATTGTAATACAGGGTGTCCTGAACGATAAATAACCATTACTCAAGAATAATGATGATGAAATAACGAAACTAAACGATTCCTGATCTATGTTTTATTTTACCAGGTAAGGCGCCACAGACCTACGTAGCTCTTTTTCAAATCCACTTTGACGGTGACCCAAGACGAGAGGAGCGCAATTCACTTATTTTTGCACAGGCTGTGTGTGCGCTTTAAAAATAAATCGTCACGTGTTTCTCGAAACTCACGGTTTTGTAACCATGCACTGTTGTTCTCTTTCGGTGGGTTAATTTTTTTCCTCGTCATTTAGAGATGTCATGAGCGATGTGAGTTGCAGGACGTCCGGGCCACCTTGAACCTCAAAGTTATTTTTTTTCAGGCAGTACGGACAGGACACGACCTTATTCCGTGTAGAGAGAGAGAAAGAGGTCTTTAGCCAAGATTAGGACATTTGGGAAAACGGAGACAATGTTAGCAAATATCCGATTAACTCATTGTGTCAACAATTAGGTTACTGTGCCTTAAATAGCCCAGGAGTCGGACACGGAGCCTAGCTCTGAACTGATTCGTACCGAGCAAGTGCATAAAACTGGACATCTGTCATGCGTTAAATATGCATAGAATTCTTAATGTTGAATGGCAAGGCCATTTATCAACCCCTGAGCTCAAACACAAATCAAAGTGGACACCACTTAGTGCAATAATCCGAATAGAATTCTTCCTTTGGGTTCTTCATGTCCTAAGAATGCCAGGCAGTGGAATTCTAGGCGTCAGATTAGTCCACAAACCAGAAGGGAAACGAAATCTATGGAGAACACCATACAAAATGGAACACATTAACTAATGGTTTTATTCAATTATGACCGCATCTGATCACTTTGTGATACAATAATGTATTTTGCCAAAATCACTGTCGATAAGGGACCGTTGATAGGGCAATCCATAAAACTAGGTTTCTGTTTCATTGATGTTTTACAGACAATTTCTTGCATTTATAAATGTAACAACAACGCGTAAAGTTTGAGGGCGCTGCGTTTGCAGCACGCTGGCCTGTTTTTATGATGAGAAGACAATGGCTCTTCTGTGCCAGACATCCCCCCCATCCAATTCTTCACCTAAAAATTATATATATTTACGTGTAAGCCCAGAACATACTGTGCCCAGGAAAATTACCCTTAAGGACGGGCGCATCGGTGCGTTTCCCTCTTTCCCCTGTTTGTTTACCCAATTAGCATAATTTCCTAATTGAGGGACAAGCTCCATTAGCCATGCAGACCCAGTCAGCCTGCACAGATAGACCCTTGAATCTGGAGCACGTTACAAACGCACGTTTTGTGACACACGTGTTTTAATTACCTTCTTGACCTGTCTTTATTTTAATCTTGATTTGAAGCTTTCGTGACTGCAGGAATCCATACTCTTTGTTTTTTTCGGTAAAGTCACGTAGGTATAAAATAAAATAATAAAGTCACCTACGTGACTTTACCGAAAGAACCAAAGAGTAAGTCTATAATTTCTTCAAATTTGGTGGGGTATTTTCCTTTCTCCAGGACCCTTCCAGTCCTGTGTAAAGAAATGCATTCAGACAGGCTTGAATATCTTTCGTGTGATCTGTAACTCCACTTCTAACTCTCTTCTCGAAGCACCTTTTCTGGAACACGCAGTCCTGAATTATAGACACACAGACTCCTTTGCAGTGGCATTATCTGATCCACACATCAATCACGTGTGGGTATTATCCTTTTCTCATTCTTCCCGTGGACCCCATGGTTCAAGAGGCAGTTGAGATGTTATAGATTTTGATTTAAAGCTTTCGTGACTGCAGTGATTCATATTCTTGGTTATTTCGGTAAAAAGAACCAAGAATATGTTATAGATTATTGTTGATGGGAGCCTGGAGGGGGGAGAGTTTGTACAGGGCCTTGCTCAGCCCTCAGGCTATTGACTGCAAGTCACAGGGAAGGCCTAAAGTTATGCAACTGTCAGTCTCATAGTGAGCACAGCATGTACATCTGAGGTACAAAAATCCACGATGTATCATCGGAAGCAAAATATCTCAGAATACTGGAAGAGGGAGGGGGGGGGAGTTAGATGTAACTCACAAGAAAAATAAACTTTTAACGTCCCAAAAAAACTTGCATATTTCTTCGGCCAGCTACCTTGCAAAAGTGGCCAATTGTGGGACATTCAGGACCTTTGGTAACACCCTAGGAGCATCGTCAACCTGGAATGCTGGATAATTCAGATCTGGAGACCTGTACCGAACCCAGCTTCTGTCGCTGTCCGTGAACTCCTCACTCGCTCACTCTGTGTGTGTCGCCCTCGCTCTGCCCCATTGCAGAAATTCAGAGAGGAGCTTCAAGTGAAAGAGGTAGAGATCATCTCCGCGATGGACACGGCGGAAATGATCTCGTCGGAGGAACAAGTGAACGATGGTAAAACAACAAAAAATGTGTTGTAACAATAGGAATTTGGCATGATTCTTTTTAGGAGTGCATGCACAAACTCAGTTAAGGGCATGGCACACAGTGAATGTTAAGCGAACATTAAACAAATGTTGAAGGTTAAACAGAATGAGTGATGATATGATCTGCTTTTGTCTATTTTGTGTTGCTGGCTGCCTGACATGTTGGACCCTTCGGCCTGTGCTCAGCATCTGTGATTTTTAAAATAAAATGCAGTCTACGCGAGCTCTCACGCCGCTATGTATGATATGTATGAGCCCCACCACTTGACAAAACCCCGCACTGACCAACTTGGTGCAGTATGATCAAACAAACTGTCATGACTTGGGAGGCCTTAATCCAGCAGTGGATTGACTGTAAATTAAAATGAATTCCGGTTATTTCAATCTGGAATTGAAAAATCAGCTCTAGCTCACACTCCATATGTTTATGATGAAGGTCTGTACCCCACAACCCCCCCCCCCCCACCCCCCATGATACGGGGCTGGTGAACTTCAGTCTGAATAATGCTTCTAAGCCTTGACAAGGCCTTGGGAAATTGCCGTTCCAAATTTATCAAGTTGTTTTTTTCCCCGCTGGGCGTCGTACAACTTGGAATGCAATTAACAGATCGTGTAGACTCCGCTGATTTCAAACAAAATGTGGAAAAATAATCCATCAGTTTCAAGGCAGTCCCGCATCGATTCATATTTGATTAATTTTTATTTCTCTACACTAAGTTTGTTGTGTGTGCACATTTATTTATTTCTCCATTATATCAATGCGTCTCTGTGCGTTTACATTTGATTGCTTTTTTTTTCGTTTCCCCGTAGTAGTTTTTTTTTATATTTCGAGACGACCTTTTGGATCCATTTCACACGCAGTTGTCAAGCCGTCGGAACATCACACAAAGGAATGTGTGTGTGTGTGCGTGTGCCCTCGCGCTCGCTGCCAAAGCGCTGTCCTCCAGACAGTCTCGTCCCTTCACCTGATGAAGGCCGCTTGTGTTGTGGCCGAAACGTCGTGAGAATATTATTGTGTTCTTTTATTTTATCAATTTATTATTTTATTCTCATCCTACGTGGTGACTTTACCGAAAGAACCAAAGAAGATGAATCCTTGCAGTCACGAAAGCTTTAAATCGAAATTTAATTTTTTTTGTTACGTTTCGACCGGTCTGGGCCTCATTTCGCATCTGTCATCTCTCCAGTGTCCCCTCTCGGCCTATCAAGCCGAAAGATAAAAAAAATCAACAAAACAAACACGGCAACAATCGGCCTGCCGCTAGACAGCGCTTGGGGTAATCGTGCAAAATCACCAGGACAAAAAAGCCCTGATGTCTGTCATCACACACACACACACTGGCTGTGGTAATACCAAGCCCTGCCTGTACTTGACGGCGGGAATGCTCTTGCTAGGCAGCGGCGGTCGTGTTGTACACTCTGAAATTAAACGGCGGTCTCCTTGAGCTGACGCCGTCGCCTTTCGCCGTGGCGCGTGTGGGGTTAGCCGTTGGATCGGTGGTCCACAGGTGCCAGGTTAACTTTCCGCTCGTGTGGGATACCCCCTGTTGATTCCTCTGTCCACCTGGTGGTTGATGTGGGTTAGATGGTGACAGGTCAATTGGCTAGACGCTATTGTCATCATCTTCCATCACCAACACCATCCTCAGCGACGCCATCATCCTCAACAGCATCACCACATTCCTCCAATTGATCGTCGTTACTGCCATCATAATCATCATCATCATCATGAACACCATCGTCATATTAATACTTCTCACCATCAATAACCTCGTGTCATAATATCGTTGTCATTGTCATAATTTCCTTCATCATCTTCCTCCTCATTGCTACAACCCACAACCATCATCATCGTAATCACCATCATCATCGCCAGCATCATCATCATGATCACCATCAATGCCATCATCACCATCCTCCTCACGCACATTTAACGGTGCACATAATGCTGAAATACACAATGAAATGTGATGGATGGAAATAAGCGTAACTCCATCAGCCATTGATCTATACATCAAAACTGAGTGTTTTCCTCCCACCTGTCACGTTGATATCATCATTCACTGCTTCACTCAGGGCTATGCTACAGGAACTGTTATATATATAGCAGATCAGAGCACGTGGATGCGTAATCATAGTTCAAATCCTGGTCAGGCATTAATTCTACTCATCATCCTTCCGGGGCCAATACAATAGCGTACCATTGCATGAGACATCAACGGTTGCTTTCATTTGTCAAATATATGGTCTCGCTCCCTGTAATAAGAATGTGGAATTTCCACTCGTGACTCAGAGACGTTAACAGCAATTTGCGCACCTCCTCGTCCTTTTTCGATCGAATATTCCATGTTATTTACTTCACGATTTATAAAGGAGTGGTCGGCCAGTGGTTAGTAAATTGCACTTTGAACTCGGCGATGTAGGTTTAAATCCCAGCCGCGTCTACCATCAGTGACACGTGACGTCCGAAGCAGTCCTGGGCCGCCCCACCCCACCTCACTCCACAATCCGCAGTGACCAATGTGGTGAAGTATGGTCAAACTAAATCTCTTGGCCAACACGTCGTGAGGAGGCCATTTGTAAACTCATCAATCAGTGAATTTACAAATGGTCCCTAATACGTCTTCGATTATCTCATTAGACGGCTGTGATTGTGTGCTGTGACCGCAGGACTATGTGATGGGCAGCAGAGAACGTGGCACAGCAATATGTCATTGTACTATAGTTCTATGTTCCCACGCTCTACCCAACCTGCAATGACCAGCGTGGAGAGGCCCTCGTCCAGCAGTGGTTTGACAAGAGTAGTACATTTCACGTAATAATAATAATTTACTTATTTAATAATAGTAATTTAATTATTTCGTAGCTCTGTGATGTCATCATTCGAGACCATTCAGAGGCACAGTGTGGTGCACCGCTTAGCTGTAGAATATCTGAATAGACTCGTTTTCATCATGAACCCGATGCAGATTGCACGTTTGGAACAAACATTGGAGGGTGGTCGGCGTGGCAGAGACGAGTGCTAGGTAGCTCCAGCTCAGGCAGCCAGTAGGCTCCACGCGTGTTCTTCCAGCAGTGGATTGACACGGGGCTGCATACGCACGGCTTGTGTGTCCCACAGCGGGCGACGTAACAAGCAGCAGCAGCAGCAGCAGGCCGGCGGTCTGGAGTGAGCGCCTGGGAAAGGTCACGGCTGCGGCGGAGCGTCGAGCGAGCCGCCTCTCCTGGGCCCTCGCTCGCCTCGGGGTACTTCAGGCCTCGCTCGACGACCTGCACGGCCGGCTCGGGCATCGGACAGCTGACGGGACGCCCGGGACTCCGGAGGACCAGGCGGGGGGGCCTTGCGGCGACGCCGATGGCGACCAGGAGGTGCGTTGACGCCGACGGACGGGGGCGCCTATGCCGCCGCGTGGAATCCCGCGGTGTTGATACGACGTAGCCGCTTTGCGTGTGTGTGTGTCTTGTCCAACAGGAGTGTGTGGTCTCTGTGTGCGTGTATGTTGTGGGGAGCGGTGGTGTAGCGGTTAGCGCTACGCCGCGCTACGAACCCGACGAGCCGAGTTTGATTGCCGCTCAAGGCCAACACCGGTGACGATTATCTGAACCGGTTCTGGGCCTCCCCTAGGTCGACTCGGCCTCAAACGAGTACTTGGTGCGGTGTGTAAAACATCGCCACTGGGGAGATAAAGGCGGCCGGGCCTGGTGCTAGCCACCCACCCCCTCGTGTGCCGTGCCAACCTTCATCGGTGCTCACTAACAGCACTTGCCCCAACAGTCTGTTCAGGCTATACGGGGGATCTTTGTTTTGTATATATGTTGAACTTCTTTTGCACCGAACGTAGCCAAACCGTGCTAATCGGGGCCTCCACGCTTTCACAGCGGGGGGGGGAGGCTTGGTCCAGAAGTATTTGTGGCGTACGATGAAAACAAACGTCACCATTGTCATCCTTGTCACCACCTGATTGGGCCCGCTACATGTTTAACGCAAAGCGCCGCTGACATTTAAGCGCTGCCAAAAACTGGCGGCGCCACATGCCGAGAGGTTGTCGCTCGCTCGCGTTTGAGAAATGATGGGGACGTCGCGGGGAGAAGCCACGCGAGTCCCCTTCACTCTGCGTAGCGATTGCACGAGTTAAGAAATGACACGTATCAGCATTCTTTTTTGTTGTTGTCATCGTCGTTCTTTCCTTCGTCCTGCAACAAAACAGAAAAAAAACATTTCGGGCAGAATGACTAACGTGTGCTGCTGGTTACAGAATTACATGTTTCGCAGCATGGAAAGTCACACACCAACCCCCCCTCCCCCTCAATTATAATTACAATTCTGACCTATGGAGAGCCACATGGGTGCTGCCACAGTGGTGTAACGACGAGCAGGCTGGAATTGCACTTCGGCTTTTGAAACTGTGGGGGGGGGTAAGTTTCTGAAAGCCGTCCACCTGTTTCAGCCCAAGCCAGCAGTGCAATCGGATTCACCGCAGTGAGTCAATCGGCGTGCTCACGTGACGTGGGGTAAAGCGCGGGTAGCTCCCGCCTCTTCAATAAGGCACAAGTGTGAGGGCCACCACAACCGCCTGCAAAGGTTGTTTGCAGATTTGTGAATTGTCAGGGGCCAAACGAAAGGCTACCAGGGGCCGCTAGTGGCCCGCGGGCCTTGCAGTGAAGAACACCGGGATAGACGGAGCTCTCTGGCGCTCCCTCTAGTGGAAGGCCCTGCTTGCCAGCGGCGTCACAAGCAATCGGTGGCATTGGTGGAGCCTTACCCGCTCACCGTTGAGAGTGCGCGCGAGCACGCGCTCTCACGTGGTGACAACGGCGAGCTCAGATCGTGACCCCTCGGGTCGCTTCGCGATCGGGAAGCGGGTCCCCGCCGCCACCGCTCTCGGCGGGGACGTTAAAGGCCACAGGGCCCATCTGTCCGGGAGCAGAAGCAGACGCGGGGTGCCAAGTGGCACTCGTTATGTGCAAAGGCCATTGTTTGTTTGTTGTTGTTGTTGTTGTTACCGCCAAAGCTAAAATTTGACGAGAAAATAACACCCTTGGCGCCCGCGCCCTTGGCAGCGGTGAGGGAGAAGCCATCATCGTAAACACACCGTGCACAGCTTAAATTAACGATCCTGCACGTATATTAATCGTAGGCGTTAAAAAAAAAATAACAACTTCAAAGCGGCCATGGTCGCGTGAGCGAGAGACTTAAGAGGCCTCCTGAGGCTCCCGTTAAACAGGGCATTTAAGCGAATTAAAAAGGAAGAGGTGCAACCCTGCATTCGTTCGCTCAGGACACTGCTGGTGGAAGGGCTTCCACGAGAAGTAGCTCTTCGAGTCCCTCGAGAGGGTATCTGGAATATTCTTCCACACCGGCCATGTGTATATATATATTTACACACCTGCAAGTTGCGTGGTTGGCGATGTACGGCGTGAAAGAAGTTCAACATTTTGGCAGTTGTTAGAGTCCCCACATTTTACCCCACCATACGTGACCTACCAATCGACTCACCTGGACAGGGAGGGGGATTTTAGAAACTTGCTCTATTGTTGCAACTGCCACGCCGGGAGAAGGAGGCGAACCGGCAGTGTCTGGATTGCTAGTCCAGTGAGCTCACGATTACACCACAGCGGCATCCCTAAACACCGTACTCGGCTTAGGTGAACGACCATGCACACTTTATTGAGCGGCATCGAAAGGTGACTTCAAAAGCTGCCGTGTATATTTTCGTGAGAGAGACGTACGTGGAACTATTTGAGTCTTCCCTTTTGAAGAGGCGTTTAGTCGAATTAACCGACGCAGAAACTCCAGCGTGTGCGTACGGGGGTGGCACCACGTGTTCGCAGTACGATGTCCCAAATCTTTTGGCGTGACGGTCTGCACGATGTCGGCCTCCCGTAGAAGCACGCGGAGCAAAACGTCAGACATCGTGCCAAACGGCACACGCAGTACCGACCCGAAAACACCTTGGCCAGCAACAACCGCGAAAAACCTGACGCGGTCCAATTAGCCAGCAATTAAAATTAATTGTCGTTGTGTTTCTCTGTCATTGAACGTCACGCCTCACTCGCTGCCACCCGGGCCCCCCCCCCCCCCCTCCAGAGCATCGAGGAGGAGTCGAGGCCATTGGCCGAGGAGCTGAGGTCGGTGGAGGAGGCGGCGGACGAGCTCGCCTCCGCCGGTGTCGTCCTCTCGTCGTCCACCCAGCAGAGGCTGCAGGAGGTGACGTCCACGTGGCGGGCGATGCAGGTGAGCAACATCGGCGGTGGCCGGAGCTGTCGAGTCGCGAAGGCGGTGCGGCTGCACCGTGTCGCGCGGGGCGGGGGGGGGGTGGAGACACGCTCGGCTGCCCCCTCAAAGTGACTTAAAGCTTTCGTGACTGCAGGAATTGATTTTCTTTGGGTCTTTCGGTAAAGTCACGTAGATAGAAATAAAAATATCACGACGTTTCGATCGCAACGCAAGGCTGATGACGTTGCGGTCGAAACGTCGTGATATTTTTATTTCTATCTACGTGACTTTACCGAAAGACCCAAAGAATACAGTATCTGAAGGTTTGCTGGGTTTTTTTTTAGTTTGTTGGCCTTCCTGCACCCGGCACCTCCGATTGGCACGGTTGGCTACGTACGGTGCGGAAGAAGTTCACCGTACGTACATGCAAAGGCGGATCAGCAGCCGTGCCTCGTGACAGGCCACAACTGTAGAACCAGGCTGAGGCAGCTGTCGCATGGGCTTCAAATGAGAGCAGGTGTCATCCTTGAGCCACTTACGATTAAAGAACAATTAGCGAGTATTTCTAGTGCCTGGTTGGCATATGCACATGTGGTTCCTATTTATATACGACGTATAGATTCCACAAAACGTGTCACGCAATGTTGTACAAGCGCTCAATTGTGGTCTGAAAAAGTAAATAAATAACCAAATGCTCAATCGTTTTTTATTTGTTAATGATGAATAAAACTATCCTTGAAAACCAAACCAACAAATACAAGATTTACCTAAAAATGTAAACCCACAAACACCTTCACTTTTATTATCATCAAACAAACCTCGACGTAACATCGACGAGTGATGTATGGCCGATGTAGCGACGCTGTTATGTAATTGTGTTGCATGCGGTATTTTACCATCAGCATGCGCATTTTTATTAGCTTTTAGATTGCACCAGGGTGTGTGTTAGCTTGATCATGGGGAGCATAAGGCACGGTGACTGAACCTGAGCAAACGCACAATTCTCACGAAGCCCATCCTGGGGATGAGTGCAGGTGATGGATGGCATTTCTATCTCCTTAAGCAATGACCTTTGGGGTCAGCCCCATAGCTTGCCCTTCCTAAATTCACAATAATTCTTCGTGCCTTCTCCTTCGGAGCAAATTCTAGCGTGCCAAGTGCAGATCTTTCGCGTCAAATAATTTCTTGCTCGTCAAGGTTACAAATTACCTTGGCATTTCTAAGACCCCCCCCCCCTCCCCCTCGTCTGTCACAATTAAAATCTGAAATGGAAGGTAACGTCGCATTTGTGCTCAAAGCGCTCGGATTTTTCCCGTCGCGCGTGTTTCTCCCCCCCCCTCTCTCCTGCCGGTGTCGGTCGCCGCTTTTTTCGTTTTGTCCCAAGGAGCAGCAGTTGCTTCCGTGATATTGGGCAGCGCCGGCGAGGCCCGTCCAGCGGAGAATGCGTGCTCCCAGAATTTACCGTGCTCAGATTTTACAGAAGACAAATGCGTTCCGCCGTTCATCACTCGCTATCTCGGCTGCGCCCGGCGGCGTCGAAACGATTAATTGCCGCGGCGCGCACTACCGATGGCTAAATAAAACAATCCTCTCCGGGGGGGCGGGTGGGGGTGGGGGGAAAGCTCCGGTACACTTTTCAACAGTTTAAATCCTCGCTTATAATCACTTCAACGTTTGTTTGGCTCTTCAAAGGGTGGCATTTTTTTGTGGCGATGGTGTAAGGCGTGGGGATTCTTATTGCTCCGTACTTTTAATATTACAAGCTGGGTGGAGTGGTGGTTAAGCGGTTAACACACTTACGCAACGAATTCGAGTCCCAATTTCCCAGCCACAGGAAACATCAGTGGTGACCGATATCTCAACCGGTCCTGGTTCCTCCTCCCTGCCTTTGCTAACCCGAGCTGACCAACCCCCCCCCCCCCCACACACCGTTGGGGGAGCCTTAATCTAGCATTGGATTGATAGAGAGCTGTAAATTATTATAATTTTTTTATGAATTCCAACAGCAATCAATAAGCTGGTGTCTCTGTTCTGAACCCATTGCCACCTGCAACTCCCCATAGTTGCAGCACGAGGCAGCGCTATCAACTGCTGTGGACATTTCATGAGGGGTGAATATGCTCCCTCACCCCCTGCGGTTGTGTGGGACGTTCCACGGTTAATTGAAAAACATTCAGTGCTGATGTTTCATAAGGACCTCCGCCCCCCACCACCACGCTGGTTTAATTGATGGTCGCAGACCACATATTTCTCGCTGCACAAGTACTTGATGGAATTCAATGTAATGCGGTCAGGTCGATTGAATGTTCCAGCACTCGCTGACTCGCTCCTCATACTGGCTCACGGAGAGCCAGCTGCCTCTGTAATGCTCTGCTATCCCTGCTACTGCTACCACGGTTGCTTTACCGTTCTCGTGAACTTGGCTCATCAATTGCTCCCACCCACATTGAGGACTCGGTGTGGCCGGACCAACTCGTCCGTCTCACCGAAAAACGGCGTTCAACCGTTACACACCACAGATCAAAATACTTGCCTAGATATCTGGATCTTCCCTCGCACTGCTGAAACATTTTTCTCAATTCTAGCAACACATTAACGCTTATCTAATGTGCCTTTCAAGCATGTGCCTTTTAAATTTCCATTTAAAGCTTTCGTGACTGCAGGGATTCATCTTCTTGGTTATTTCGGTAAAGTCACGTAGAAGGGAAATAATAAAATAATTAAAATAAAACATAATAGAATTTAATTCTCACGACGTTTCGGCCACAATGCAAGCAGCCGTCCTCAGGCGAAGAAACAGAACTGTCGGAAAGACAGCGCTCCAATGAACACTGCTAAGCTTGGCAGCATATTTTTAAGCTGGGTGGGAGGAGCAGAGTGCCTTGTCAAAGGAGTTTACATATCAACAGAAGAATTTAGCATTGAAGTAGCTATGTTAATGTCAGAGATTAGCATGTAACTGGAAGGACGTGATAAACCATTTTGGTTCTTTATTGATAGTGTTTTACGGTGACTTTCAGACCGCAGTCCATTCGCTGGCATTGCCTCTTAGTACCTTTCACGACGGTTAATGGTATGGTTTATAGCATATTGTATAATAATAAATAGTATAAGTGTAATGTTTAATATAATTTATAAGGTAATATATAGTATCGTAATTGTATAGTGAATATACAGCAGTGTGGTATACAGTAGGGTTGGTAGAATAATACATAGTGTAATATTACAAGTCAAATATTATAAGTCTAAAGTATAGGGTAGTGTATAGTAACGTAGTGTATAATTCAATGTTGGGGTCTGTCTATGGCAGTTTATAATACGGGATATAGTCGTGAAATGTAAGAAAAAAGATTAGTTGGAGGCATATTATAATATTTTTTTGCGACATAGAAGTGTAATGTATAATGACTTATTGTTCGTAGCTCAGCTTATTGGATGGTATATTGAGTATATTGATGATATTGATGTAGTTTATATTTAAAATTTGTATCGGTTCACTATATGGTAGTCATTATATAGTGTAGTGTATACCCAGTTACTTAATGTTAATAGCTCAACTTATTAGAGACTATATTGAGTACATTGATTATATTGATGTAGTTTATATTTAGTTCTTTCACATCGGTTTATTGTATGATAGTTGGGTAGTTGCAGTTCTTTAGCGTTAATATAATAAATGCCTCTGTTGATATGTAAACTGACTTTAACATAGCTATTTCCGTGACCAGTTAGATGCTAATTCCTCACATTAACATCATGCTATCTCCCAGTTACATGCTAATTTCTGACTTTAACATCCTGCTAATCTCTCACATTAACATAGCTACTTCAATGCTAAATTATTCTGTTGATATGTAAACTCCTTTGTCAAGGCGCTCTGCTCCTCCCACCCAGCTTAAAAATACGCTGCCAAGCTTAGCAGTGTTCATTGGAGCGCTGTCTTTCCGACAGTTCTGTTTCTTCACCTGAGGACGGCTGCTTGTGTTGTGGCCGAAACGTCGTGAGAATTTTATTCTATTATGTTTTATTTTTATTATTTCCCTTCTACGTGACTTTACCGAAAGAACCAAGAGCATCTGCCTTTTGTTGTTGCCTTTCAAGCGTGCCGATTGTTGCTGGCCGCTTGGCATTTTGGCCTTTTGGGCTCTGTGCTAACAGTGGTGGGAAGAATGGCAGAAAGTTTAGCGCCAACCTTTGTCACACAGACAAAAACAAACTTTACGAAATGGTTATCGCCATGGTCATTCTATTCAAGGCCACCACAGTGCATCACTGCACGAGTGCCGCCCTTCGGAGAATATTGGATTCTTTCCACAATCGCTGTTTACCCTCACAGTCATGTGACCACTGTGAAGTAATAATTATAATAATTTCATTCATTTTTGAGCACTTTTGAATAATTTTCAGTCCACCGCTTGATAAAGTGCCTCCCCATACTTCACCAACCTGGCTAGTGCGGATTGACGGAAGACCAGGGAGGGCCCAGGTCTTGTGTAGCTATCGCTTCCCGCTGACGATAGCCGTGACTGGGAGTCGAACCCAGGTTGCCGGGTTCAGAGCGCGGTGCACCAACACACTGCGCACCCGCTTCCTTGCATTCCCCGTGAATTGTAGATCTACTGCTGAATGAGGGCCTCCACAAACCATGTGGCTTCTCCCACTTTCACCCACTCGCCCTCGCACAAAGAATCACCATGGTATTATTATTATGATGTAAAGGAATGGAACGCATCTGAGCGGACATCCACTGTAAAGATGGAGTGATCAATGAGCTCATGTGCAGGTGCGAGGCGGACTATTTATTCACGGAATCATTCGATATTACAGTGGCCAAAGGAGGCCTTTATCCAGTGGTAGATTGACCTTTGCTGATGATGATGATAATAATAATACAGTTTATATAACGCGCACAATGTTGCGGACCGAAGATGCAATTCTGATAACAGTGACGATATTGCAATGTCACAGTATACGATGAATATTCAAACGAAATCCTTTATCGCAACATACGTTCATCGGCCGTCACTTATTTCGTAGCTCCATTTTTCCACCGAGGGCCCACATATTGCTCATCGCCAATCAAAAAAAACGTGTTCTCAATATCCAAACCACGCACCACTGCTGCTGCTGCACTGATGTCCAGAGACAGTCTGCAGAGAGGGGATTTAGTTTAGGAAGTCACCGGTGCCTTGCGCGCGAGCCCATGACGCGAATTAACACCTGCGCAAAACGGAATCTAACCCCGCGGGAGAGGTTCTCTCAGCTGTCGACACGCGCGGGGATTGTCTTTCAGCCCAGAGGGGAGACGCGGCGCCCTCGGAAACTGGTCTCAAGCTCGGAGCGCCACGTCTAATTCCATCGAACTGAAGTGTGAAAAATGAAAATAGTTTTCTGGGCCCTCAATCGTTCCCTAAATCTCGTGTTAAAAAACAATAGATTCCCTCCTTATTCAGTCGGTGCTCATCCTCCGTTTACCGCCCTGAGCCACGGGTGGGAATTCCACATTTCCAATGACTTCCCTGCAAAGTGGTAGCTATTTTATCGACCCCCCCCCCTCCCGAGAGGGATGATGGGCAGAGTCAACCCCCAACTGACAAACGGCCCAATTGTGAGTGGCTCGCCCTACCGCCGGGCCAGCTGCCTGACAGAAAAAGAGGGGGCCACCCACTGCCCGAGCACGCGGCCCTACAGCTTGGCAATGGGAACGCTGCCGTCACGCTTCGCCAGGGCTTTCTTCTCCCCGCCGTTCCTCCAACGTTCCCACGTCCTCTCTTCCCACCTCCGTTGCCTCGTCGTTTCTGGCAAGGAAGCCTCATTCGTGCCGACGCCACCGACGCCGCCTGAGATGAAGAATCGACACTTCGGAACGACGTTCACTTGCCACCCCGTGAAACTCAAGCCGGCAGAGCTGAGCCTCGGCTGGCCGGTGTGTCGATGCGGTGTTTTAAATCGAAAATGAATGCATTTTGATACGGAAAAGTGGTGCATTGGTTGGAGTGTAATAATAATAATAATCTCACTTAAAATAATAATAAAAATAACAATACCACAAATATGATATTCATTACTACTGGTTAAAGTGTAATATAGAGTACAATAATAACTGGTTAGCATTTAACAATGATAATAATCTCACTTAAAAAGCCCGCTGATTGCGCCGCGCGAGTTTTGTGCCGGCACTCGAGCTCGAGTTGGCAGCGAGAGGCTCGCCCCTCTCCAGAAAATCCGACGCTCGCTCCCCTCAAAATCCAAAACATCCGGCACAATCGGACCCTGAAGACCCCCCCCCCCACCCACCCCAAGTCTCACCGTGCATTCCTTCTCATCTTCAAACAAAGACCGTTTCATGGTCCCCTTGCACGGGAATCGGAGCTCTCGAATGTCCGCAGATCCCGTCATCGTCATCGCAAGTGAAGCGTCGCTGACAGCGGAGCCCTCGACTATCACCGGGGAAGGGGCGGGGGGGGGGGTGAAGCCATCAACGCGGAGTCGTGGCGCGGACGTCACTGCTGTGGCGACAGCCGGGTGTTTGCTACCACACAACAACAACCGCCATTTGCCAGTGACATCACCACGGCGCTTGTGCCAGGCTATGTGCACGTTAGGGCCACGTGAAGTGTCGAACGCCCGCTGGCAGAAGGTCACAGGAAAGACCCAGGTGCCATGGGTTGACTGTTTCAGATGACTGGCCGATGCACCACCTGTGCCCCCCCCCCTACTGTGCCAACTTGCTGTGTTTTAGCCACCCGGTGTTCCGCTCGTTGTTGTGAGTGTCGCTCCTCTGCCCTCCTTTGTTGCTGGAGGGCGACTGCCTCCAACTGCCCAGTAGCGTCCTTCACGAGCCTCCTGGACAGATGTCCATTCAGCTCCACATTCTCTTGTACCACATCACTCCATCTCTTCCCTAGCCCGTGCTGTGCCTGTTTAGTCTCCTCTATTCGGCCGAACAAAAGCTGTTTAGGCATGCGGTTGCTGGGCATGCGGGCTACATGCCCCCCCCCCCCACCTGAGAGGTGCAACGGTATACAAAGGAACCGTTTAGTACGAGCAATGCATTCCGTTTCATTCTCACATACCTCCTCCTTTGCCGCTGTACAAACCGAGGCGCCAGGTGAATTTTATTTTCCACTGTCCCCTAACATGAAACGCGCACTGATTCAGTCCGGAGACACCATGTGGATGACGTGGCGGGGTGCCGTGCTGTCGCAGGGTTTGCCGACTCGTGTGACACGCAATGATGGTTTGGGATGCGTGTGGATGATGCGGTGATGCTGTGTCCTTGCCGTGTACTGACAGAAGTCACACGCGATGAACCCATCACAAGTCCCGAACCAGATTCACATGTCTTGAGAGAGGCCCAGCTTAATGTGGTTTGGTTTTGGCTCGGCATGGCAAATAAACAGCTGAACCCTGGCTGCCATATATTGCACCTTAAGCGGCGCGATGTCGTTTGATATGCTGGGAGCACTTAGCTAATGGTCCCAATAGCACCTTCTGCTGTCTAAGCAAACACAACTCTGTTAGACGATAATATCATATGGCCAGCAGACAGCGACTATTAGAGATTCAGTTCTGAGTGATTTAGCAAATTCTCGCCCACCCACCGCTTTGCAGTTTATATTTTTGGGGAAGTGCGACGTTGTACGATTCGAGCATTTGTAGCCGCAAGCCGCACAAATTAAAGAGACTATTATTTTCTATGGGAGGTTTGTTTGAATCAATGAATTGATAGATTTATTGTCTGAAACGTATTGCAGTACGAGGAGTCTCCAAAGTCCGCACGCTCGCGGGAAATTGATACGCAACGTGTCGCGTGATAAAAATGTGAGCGTTTACCAAAGTGTTTTTGTTTTCTGTTTCTCGTTGGCGTGTCCGTTTAAATGTTTTTTTTCTTCTCCTTCTTCATCTTCACCATCAGACCACGCTGGACGGTCAGATCGATCAATCAGAAGAGGTGGAGAGCGACCCGAATCTCGCTCCGAAAGCGTACATCCCAAGTGAGTGTCTGACTCCGGGGGTGCGTGTTGCCCATGAATCAATCTCACCTGTCACGCGCAGGTAAATGTTTTCCGCGTCTTGCTGAATCTCACCGCGCGCGGTCCGTGGCTTCGGCATATAGCCCGCCCCGGGGTGCACGGTGGGGAGTGGGAAGCAGGGCCATAGTCCCGCAGATTTGCAAACATTCCCTCCGCTGCCATGTGTGGCGGATTTCTGATGGATTTACTTTGACGTGCGCGAGGAACACGCTCTCTGATTCATGGGATTTGCGTCGTTCGTGCGCGTGGTGCGAGGCGCTGTGGATTTATCTCGCGGGGTGTGGTGAAGCTCTCGGTCGCCGAGGCTGTTGCGTGAGACTCGTCCGGGGGGGGGGGGGGGGGGGTTCGCGTTCAGGTCGAGTGATCGACGGTCCCATCGTGACCTTGCGCGTAATGAGACGGGGGCGTTGCGTCTCTGGCTCTGCAGTAAAATATTCTAGAAAGGTTTAGACGGAGAGCAAAAGTTAATTATTGTAATACGTTTACACGTGCAAAAAACACATTGGCTGATGAGCATCTCAGAGTATTTATACATTTATTTTAATCTATATTCATAACATTGATAAATACAACCGTGTGTCATTTAGTAGTTTATGAGATAAAACACCTCGGGTCATAACGTGAATGATAATGTTAAATAATTTCTAACTTTGCAGATATTTTGTGAATTTGACGTGATGTTTCATCGAGAACTCGGAGGCAATGTATACATATTTGTATTTACCTTGAAAAACAACATGAATATACAATAATAATTATTTACAACCTTTTATTATTCCACTGCTGGATGAAGGCCATCCAGCACCATGTTGCATCGTGTGGTTATTTTTACCACAGTTCACCACCCGAGCTGGTGCGGGTTTAGGAGCGGGAGAGGGGTGGGGGGGGGATGCCCAGGACTGGTTCGGTTATCACTCCCCACTGATATTAACCCTGGCCAATACATCGCGTTCAGGTTACCGGATTTGCGTCACGGCGCGCTAACCACCGCTGCCACCGCTCCAGCCTTTTTGAATGTATAAAGTGTCTGAATACGACTTCATCACGGTGCCTCCGTACAAAAGCGTGGGGAATGGGGGGTGGGGGGGGAGATGACCAAGCAACGGTGGGAGGGAATTACTAGAAGCAGGGCTCACCGGGTTGTCACCCGTGTAATATCCCTGCGTGCGTTGCGGCTACAGTCTTGGAGGAAATGCCCTCTGGCAAGCGATGCTCAAGCGCGCGCGTTTTATTTTATTCGTCCCACCAAGCCGAAGACCGCAGAAGCGGCACCGCCGTTGCGCGTCGAAGCTGGCAGCCGGACGGCTGTCGCGTGCAACGCTGCGTGTGTGACTTTTGCGCAACAATCTAGCCGAGGTCCCACCGGCGGGCGAAATTCCGTCGTGAAAAAGAGCTTTCGCGGAGCACCTGCCCACTCCCCCCGCGGCCTCCTTTTGCTGCCTCGCAAAAGCAATCCCAGCTGCTTTGCCAGCGTGCGCGGATGAGGGTTTCAGTCGCACGTTTCACACCGGCGTCGTTGTTCTCTTATCTCCGGAAAAAAAAACTTGCCAGTGCCAAGGCCGGACAGATGCATAATTGGTATCGGGGTAGCAGTGGATGTGAGGACACGCATTATTCTTGAGTTTAAAGAGGAACGGGGGTTGGAGTTGGGGAGGCATAGTGGATTAGCGCATTGCGACATGAACCCCGCCAGCTGATAAACTCGGTGATCCTCCATTGGCTAAGCCAATGAAGGATCCTTTCAACTGTGTGAGGGCAGATATGTGTTTCATTTATTTGTACATTCAGTGCTGGATGAAGTCCTTGCCATGCCGTGCCAGTCGTGGGTGTTCTTTGACCATACTTCCCCGCCCTAGCAAAGAAGGGGGGGGGGGAGGTGCTTGGCGTTTACTGTACTATATGAGCCTGGCAAGCCTGTGGTTGATTGCCGGCCACGAACGACGCCGTGGTGAGCGGTGTGTGAACCGGTGCCTTAATCACGTCCCCCTTCATTAACTCGCCCTGACCAGCATGGCAAAGTATGGTCAAACGGCCCTCAAAAACCGACACGGTGCGGGGAGTTCTCCGTCCGGCAGTTGGATTGACAAAAGACTGTACGTTATTCAAATTGTCAACGTCAAGAAGAAGTCGTATGCGTCTAACTACAACCGAGTCACCTGCAACGTGCAATGGGCAGTGAGGGGAGCGGCAGGTTTACCACGCGTTGGATTCTGCAATCCCTGGTACTGAAACCTCCAGATTAGGATGTTAATGAACGGAAAAATCGCAATGTTTTTGCTTTTAAACTTTCCTCCATGGGGTTCCGTCTATATTTCAAGCACTTCAACCCACTTGCCGAGTGTAATTGAACACTTCACGAGAAGCTAAAACTTCTGAAGCGAGACGCTCCGCCTGTCCCGACGGCAACCTGATCGTGCGAGTCAGCAACGTGGCACTGATTCCGCACGTGTTCACGATCGACAGAGTTGTCTCAAATTATCGGTCATACCCTTTCACACAACCGAGCCGTGCCGGGCCAGCCCAGTGCGGCTCGGCTTGTTTTTCCCCCCACTGCAAAAGCTCAGAGCCAGGACGTCGCGCACAATGACTGCGTCATTAGCCTCAGCCCTTGGCACCTCCCTGGCTCCGAGCCAGGTTCGAGAGACGCCTTTTGAGAGGCCAGCGTTAGCGTGGTTTTGTCACAGCTCGGCATGGAAAATAGCCAGTGGAAAATTACCCCCATACCGTAAGGGGCCTCCCCCGAACCGGCTTGAAAATGCCATTGGGAAAGGGATGATGCTATCCGAGTCCCGCTTTCGTTTTAATAATTTGATTTTGTCGGCACACGCCTCTGGCTGGCGAGCGGTTTGATTATACTTGGCTGTCCACCCAACAATGCTCGCCAAGCGCGATGATTGTTGCGTTCAATTAACAACAAGTGCCGCTGCTGTGTCGTCCTTCGGGGCACGGTTAACTGGCGGTGTTTCCAGTGTGCGGTGGGTCAATGCAAGTTGGGCAGCTCCACGGCCATGACTGTAAAGGTCTGAGAACTGTTGCGGCTCTAGTCATAGGATAATCAAGCACGTGGTTTCGAGAGCCCCCCCCCCCCCCTCACCCCCCTCAGCAGCTCAAGGGGCCCTGGTTTCACAGAAAATTCGAGCTGCATCAAATATCAGTGAAAATTCTAAATCCTCATGAACGCAGTTATCTCCTGGCCAGAGCTAACATCAGCGGTGAATGATGCCTGAGTCAGTTGTGGGCCTCTCATGAATTCTGTGCTCATCATTCTGGTGAAGTATGGTCAAGCAACCCCCCCCCCCCCCAAGATCGATATGGCATGCCTTTATCAAGGAATATATTGACAAAGGACTAAACAAGATTACTATTTCTGTGTAGGTTTTCACACTTGTGCTGAACAGCTTTCCCAGGTGTAGTTCTTTAATGTTGTGCCTTGGTGCAACGTGAAAACACATTGGGGGAACTATGTTATGACCATCATTATTATGATTACAGTCATATCCCTGAATATTTTTTTACTTGCCAATGTGGAAACTTAGCACAGTCTATGTGCCCAGCCTGGCCAGTGCCTTGTGTAAATCCTGTTTGTGCGTGTGTGCGTGTGTCCGATCTGCGTGTCTACTGCGATGCAGGCTCCTTACAGGGCTCCTGGGAATGTTCTCTCGCCACCAACAAGGTCCCCTACTACATCAAGTAAGTCATCACACGTCGGGCATACACGAACAACAGCAGTCGCACGACAGTGGCATTGAAAGCATTTAAGCACGTGCTCTGTCCATTCGTATGTCTGTATATTAAGGAGGGGCACGATAACTCCCCGTAAAGTTGATCCGATATCAATGAAACTTTACTGTAAAGTTGTGTTGCTGTTCGGGACTTGCCCTATAGAAAATTGGCCACGTTCATCAGAAGATGGCCCACGCCCTCCCCGGCAGAGCTGCTATCCGAGCTCCATGGAGTAATCGCGGCCTACAGTCGAGCTAGTTTCTGCACGAGCGGCGCAACCGCTACAGGGATCGTTATTGTCGCAAATTGAACACTTCCGAGGACGAACGCATGCTGAGCGGTCTCAAAGAATCTTACGCAACACAAGCCTCAACTTTTTTTTTCTTTCCTCGTTGTTGTGAATGCGCACCCGGTATGGGCAGTGACACGGTCGAGCGATCGCGCGGTTCGAGCCCTTGCGGCCGCCCTGGTAAATACTCCACAGCGGACATTGAAGATCCCGTGACGATATTCGGAAAAAGAGTCGGCCGCGCGCGCCGGTGTCGCGGTCCAAATTAATTACCGGCACATCGCTCGATTTGTAAAACGCAAAGCGATGGTCAACCCCCTGAGTGCAAAACTCAGCTGGAGCCCCCTGAAGAAGAGTCTCCAGACCCCAGGGAGGGGGGCGGTGGGGGTGGGGGGGGAGCCTTCCCCGGCTAAATAAGTGCAGGAACAAAAAAAAAACAACGAGCGCTGCACGGCAAATCAGCTGCGGCAAATGCTCGGGGGCATTTACTTGGGGTTGCCCTGAACAGGCAAAAACAATCCTTCCCTTTGTGCGCGGCCTTTGCAGACGAGACGTTCGCGTGGCAGCGCCCTCTCAGTGGCGTCATTGTTTGCCCGACACAGAGGCAAGCGCCGTGGTGGGACGCCAGTGTGCGCGCGCGTGTTCTGCGTCGCGAAACTGCGGCCTCGCCGCACGCGGCCTGGGGTGGAGGGGGCTGGGGATGAGAGCAGCACTGGGACCTACGACACCTCCCCCTCCCTTCTTGACGCATTACAACGAGGATTTGTCCAAATGTGAAGAATTAACCCGCAAATCGCTCGATTCTGGGAGCAAATGGTCAGCCATTTACTGCGAAAACGTAGCAGAAGCCTCGTGAAAAGGTGCATTGAGAACCCAGGGTGGGTGGTGGGGGGGAGAGGCTTTCCTGGGTAAATGTGAGAAGAACTAGTGCAATTCGAGCTAAGGTTCTTAAGCGTTCATGCCTTATAAATCATTCTGATTCTGAACCCACCCCCCTCCCCCCCCCCCCCATACGATGTAACTGGTATTGACTAAACATCCCAATGCTGAAAAACGACTTACAAAATTACTCGCTTGAGGTTTACAAACGCACACACATCGCAGCAACATCACCCCTTGTGTGACCACTTTGGCAGGACCCTCCTGCAATTTATTATTCCTCGACTCCGCGAAGTTTTCCTGGATTAAAAACAAACACACCGTGAGCAGAGATAATCGAGCATCGTCCGCCCTTAAAATTTTGCTTGGATAATGGAGAGATAATTGGCAGCGAGTTGCCTTGCACTGACTGGAAAAGGAGAAGCACTGGACACCAAATATCAAGTCGCTCTTCACACGTCCGCAGTTCCAGACGTGCACGGTGATCAATCTCACCAGGAGCGCCCATTCGCTTTGTTTGTTATTTCTGTCCAGTTTTTGCCCCTTAATATGTTTTCTTTGGATAACGGCGACTTTTCTCTTTTTTTTCTAATGTTTTTATTTTATTTCAGTAGAAGCCCCCGGGGTACAAAGCAACGGATACCGCGATATGTTGGGGGGGGGGGGGGGGGGGGGGGGGCTACAGAAACTCCGCGGACATAATTCCGAAGCGCTGTGCGCCTGAGTTGAGAGCAGGAGGGGAGGAGAGATTGGGGGGCTCGCTGCTGCCACACCCCACCGAGCGATGGTGGGGGGGGGGCGACCGGGGTGTTTGTACTTTTTTTGTATATGGGTAAGCGGAAGGTGAGGGAAGAAGTTTAGAAAGAAAGTGGGGGGAGCGGGATGGGGGTGGGGGTTGAAGGGCGGGAGGGTGAGGTTTTTTTCCCAATGTAGATGTTTACCAAGTAAGTTTTTCTTACTTCTTTAGAACTGCTCTTTGTGTTTAGTTTGGCATCCTTATTGTCGATTTCGTTAAATGTGCAATGCTATAGTAATAGGTTTTACCCTTTTAACTGGCACAAAAACTGACACCTTTGTTCAAGGCATCATGTTTGCAATAACCACAACACAAGCAGTCAAAATGCAAACAAAAAGAGACAACTCTGATAATAATATTATGCACTGTCCTTGAATTTGATTGGTCCACACCCGAGACGGCTTTTCTTAGAGCCTAGTCTCCACTGGTGTTGGACCAAAAGACGCCAAAAGGCGTGCAACTCAGAGTTGTCTCATTTTGTTTGCATTTTGACTGCTTGTGTTGTGGTTATTGCAAACATGATGCCTTGAACAAAGGTGTCAGTTTTTTGTGCCAGTTAAAAGGGTAAAACCTATTACTATATCTTGTTACTGCCAAAGGAGGTCTCATGATGTGCGATGCTGTTCGCCAAGCTGCCGCGTCACGGCAGCTGACGCGAAGACGCGCTGCCGCGACTTACAGAGGCACCTCCGCCGAGCGCGGTTGGCTACGTACGGTGCAAAAGAAGTTCAGCAGACGTACGTGCACGCGCGCATACAGCTCCAACCCACCAATGTGCGCAGGCTCTCGAGGCCGTGATTTGTTCCCATGCATCATGGCTCGGCTCGTCGTTGTGTGCATTGTCCGGACACTTTTTTTTATGAGCACCCAGCACCCCCCCCCCCCCACCCCCACCACAGCGTTCCCATACGGACTCCTTGTAGCCCCCCCCCCTCGCATAATTGGAATGTCACCCCTGTGTTGTTTTAAGGTCATCTCTATTAGACGTACCCCTTCCCTTTTCATTAGAATGTCGGCTTCCCTGGACCACGTGAACCCTCCGTTGACACTCGCTTTGGTGGTGGTGGTGGAGGAGGCGAACTGCTGGGAGGGAACGATGCGGCCAAAGTCGCAAGTCCCACAACCCCCCTCCAAAATATTTGAACAGCCACCGCCGTGCTACGGAACGCGTATAGCTTGTGCTGGTTTTAAAAAATGGGGGGGGGGGGGGGGGGGGGGGGGGAAAGGAACAGATTCGCTACCGCACAGGGAGGGGATTTGAGATGAAGGCTGTCGTTGGGATATACGCTGAACGTAAAAGTGGCTTGGTCTCGCCACTTGGTGGAAGAGGCCCCCGCTGAGAGGGAGCTTTAGAGAGCTCCCGCTCGATGGCATTGGGCCCTACCGCACTGGCCAGACTTTCTGGAAAGGATCGAAGAGTTTGCACTTGCTTAACACTTTCCTGAACTACACACGATGCGCCGACCACCTATACTGGCCATCTGTGAAAAAAAGAGCTTCATAAGTCATCGGATTCATCCAGTATATAAAAAAAATATTCTGATTATGATACTGCTGAGTGGACAGGGATGGAGGGATTTAAGAAACTAGCCCCATTGTTTTAACTGCCGGAGTAAGATCGAACCGATGACCTCTGGATGGAAAGTTCTGTGTGCTAACCATGACACTGTGGCAACATTTAACATGATGGGTGAAAATAATATTTTGAAATCATGTCAAGAAAGTTACCTGGAGCAAATACATAAAAAAAAGATGGCAACAAATGCCATTTGCCACTTTTCCCATGCCCAACCCCCTTTTAGTCCCCTGTGGCCAGATGTCACAGGTTTCATATCATTTTCTTCCATGAAACATTGGTGGGGAAAGTCGTGGGTTATGCCCACACATGTGCTCAGCGTGGAAAAGCAGACGAAATAGCCCGCAGAGTTCGCTTAAGCGGGAGGCTCTGCCGTCGGTTACATCGGCAATACCTTTACAGTCCCTCCTTCATTGCATTTTCCTGAACTTCTCCGCCGTGGAAACTGTCATCTCAAATAAAAACACAAACGAACGATCCTGACGCTCGAGCTTGTAACGGCGTATGGCGCTCATGTTGAGCGTAGACAATTTGCAGGTGAACGGTTACAGGGGCTGGCAACCGTGCCTCGACTTGCGCCCCCGCCTCCCTTCCATGCAGACGCGCGTGGCAGAGCGTAACGGCAGACTGTCTGTCTGGGATGTCTACCGCGTGGCGCTTCCATTGCCCAGTAAATAGTTTGTGGTTTCGGTTTAGAATTCTTTTTTTATATGAATGCATTGCAAACACACGGCTGCCTCTTGCTCAATTGCTAAATGTAAAAAAAAAAACGAAATCCCATACTTTTCCGGCGCGGCATTTGAAACCGAATCGTCCAAATTTGTTAAATTCCCCTCCCCGCCCACCGTCTCTGTCCACTGCATTTTGTCTGTGATCGGCAATCCGCGCGTGATGGGGGCAAAGTGTGGGCACTCCCACCACTTGCGAGAAACATAGCCAGCGTGGATAGAGCAAAACACGGTGCCCTCTTTCGAGAGGCGCTCCTTGAGAGCTTCTCTCTCGCACAGGGGGCTGCACACCTGCGGCTCCGGAGCCGCGCGCGGTGGCTCTTTTTAATGACTGCTTGTTGACTCGTTCTTTGTCAAGGACCACCGTCTCTCGCGTTCACCACACAGTGCATTGCGCCTCTTTAAATGTTGAGTTTTTCTTTGACCGAATTGTAAAAAAAAAAAAAGTCTCTCGTTATTTTTGGTTGCCGACCCCCGGCTCGAGCTGAAGGCCCTATCCGCCGGCAGTGCGACGCGACCTTAGCAATTGCAGGGCTGCGCCTTTGCCCGGTTAACCATTCGTACAACTTCTAAGAGGGCCTAATGAAGCTGCAGGGCCCACGAGTACACAGTGCCTGTGCTGGTGCATGCAACTTATCGGGCAACGTGTTTTTACCTCTTCCATTAGATAAGGCGATTTGCCTTGCAGTTTTCAAAGGT